AAAGAAATGTAACTTTCTTTTTTACTTTAGATACATGTTGGCCAAAATGTAGAAGTAGTGCCTACTAGAGGAGTTCATTCAGCTTTTATTTAGTGGTTTGGAAGAAGAGACTTCTGAATTTTTTAGTAGTATTTCCAATAAGGTTTATTTTTCTTAGTAACAAACATTGTTGACATATACTTAGCAAAATATTTCTATATAAAATTATGATAATTCCCCATTCACATTGGAATTTACTACAAACGTGTGTATATACATTGTCTCCCGAAGTTACATTTCTCAACAGTATTCAAATTTTATCATGGTTGATATGCTGATACCATAATCCTCGTATATCAACCTTCACTAATTTTCTAACATTCTCATGATGACAACTGATAAGTAGCAGCCAGCAGTCTCATTCTTACACACACGCACGCACTCGTGCACACACATACACATGCGAGCACACAGCACACATGCACGCGCTCCTGCACACACTTACTGTTTCATCATTTTGGACAATGAATTAGAAAAGAAAATGTTACAGTTTACATATTGTTATTAAAGTTTATGTAGTATTTATTTGTGATTTGGGTATTTAATTTGCATAGAAGTTTTTCTGGCTCAAGATACTTGTCTCTGTCTGCTATTAAACTCACAATCGTTGATCAGTCTTTGTGCTTTCTGTCCAAGTTGGATCCTCCAGATAGCCATTGCCTTTTCCTCAAGGGAGCAACGGTGGCTTTCCTTAATGATGAAGTTTGGAATTTGTCAAATGTGCAACAGGGAAAATATCTTTATATCCTTTTTATCTACTGACTTGCGTTTCTGGCTTGAAATCTACCATAAACTCTCATTAAGTTCTTTAAAAAGAATAATTGAGGGGCGCCTGGGTGGCTCAGTGGGTTAAAGCCTCTGCCTTCAGCTCAGGTCATGATCCCAGGGTCCTGGGATCAAGCCCCCCCCCCCCAATCGGGCTCTCTGCTCAGCAGGGAGCCTGCCTCCTCCTTTCTCTCTCTGCCTGCCTCTCTGCCTACTTGTGATCTCTGTCTGTCAAATGAATAAATAAAATCTTTAAAAAATAGTAATAGTAATAATTGATAGTAATAACAGCTAACTTTCACTGAGTATGCCAAACAGTGTTTCAGGTGCTTTGTAAGTATTAATATATTTAAGCATTAAAAAACAGCCCTATGAGGTGTCAGTACTATCATTATGCCTGTCTCGCAGGTAAAGAAACTGAAGCATAGGAAAGTTACCGCATGTCCCAGGATGCAGCTAAAACGTGATGGGACAGGAATCACCCAGGCAGTCATGCTCGTTTGTGAATGGGAGATAAACCACAAGATACATGTAAAATTTTGTTTCCTTTTCAACTTGGCATTTCGGAAATTACACATCCCCTTGAAAGGCTCTAATCTGTGCTCTGATGGTGCTGTTATGTAAGACATTTCAGAATGCTTATATGTGTTAAAGAGTTTGTGGGATGTTTTAAGATTAACAGTGCTGGGAAATCTTCATCAAATGAAGACGGGTTTGATTTTTTTTTTTTAATGGAATTCATTCTGAGAAAAATCTGGCGAATGAAGCCAAACCATTCCAGTTTTGGTGAAAGTAATGAAATCTTGTCTTGAGAATGTGAAAGCATTCCAAAAGAATGGTCCAAACCTCTTTAGAACTTAAGAGAAACTTTGGGTCAAACTTATGAAAACTTTTTTTTCTAAGATAACTGTTTTAAAGGCATTTGCACCTGCTAAAAATTGTAATATATTGGATAAAACATAAATTCTTATTATTTAATAGAGTATATCTGTACGAAGAAAGAAACTTACAAACCTTAAGTTTGTCTCCACTGAGTATGATACTTTGCTTTCGTTAAACGTATGTAGTTTATATACACATGATACTTAATTAAGGCCCACCTTCTCTAAGAGCAGTGATGGGATTAATTCAGAGCTTTCAAATAGGAGTATTTCAGCACTATCCTGCATACATTGAGTTGTAAAAAATACATTTTAGAACCAGAACATCCCCTTAATGTACTGAATCTGTGATTTGAAAGTATTTCTGCATAAATATTTTTCTTTAAATTTGGAAAAAAAGACTTAATTTTTAACTTTCTAGAAGAATTCGTTAGATTTCAATTCTAAGCAACTTAATTGTCCACTAACATTGTAAGTATCAAGAATCTCATGGGATAACAGCATGCGTTAAGAGTACCACTAGATACAGTGCGTTTTGGATCTTACATGTCAGGAGCTAGGCTAGCTCCTTTGCCTGCATTATTTAATTCCCTCTGTACAAACACACTCTTAGAGTTACTGTTGGCATTTTCACTTAACAAGAGTAGAAGGAGAATTTGCAGTACGGGGAGAATTCTTTAGGTCCTCTTTAAGAAAATCTTTAAAATGGCTGATGTTCAGACTTTCTAATTATATTTTCTAAAGACTTGAATTCTCAAGTCCCAAATCAGACTCTAGTCCTCACTCGTGCTAAACCCCTCCGATCAGTTCCCATGTGAGCCAGTTGCTTCTTGTGATTTAACAGCCTTCCTTCCGACGGTGTGATAGATGCCATATGTCATTCTCTAGTACTAGCAATTACACAGACTCAATCCTAAAACTGTCATCGCAATTAAATGACTCAATTTTTTTTCTTAATTTTACACTTAACTTTTTGAGTCTTGTAGTGACAAACTACAGTTTGTTAACTTTTCTGCACACAAATTTTGAGCCACTGAGCAGCCTGTTTAGTAAGTAAACGTGCATCTAAGAGATATAAGAGCTAACATTGTTTCTAACTAGAAACACCATACATAGTGCTAAAAGGAAAACCTGACAGCACTGTACTCCTACCCGTCTGGGTTAACACTAGTCATTACCTAGTACAAGGCATGAGGCTCGCTGCTTCTGCCACTTGTCCTAACTTAGAAGTGTAGGCTCTATTTGATGTTTCCACTTCTCTCACATCAGTTCCCCATTTCCCTGTTTTCAAGGTAAACTTCGCAGCTTACAGAATTTCTGCAACTTAAATTCTCCGTTTCTGAGAGCGCTGAACTTAAAATAGGTGACCTGCGTAACATCTTATTGACTGGGTTTGTTCAATCCTCTCTCTGTTACATTGCCACCTTAACAATCTTTCCAGCTACGTATCTTAAAAGATGTGATGGAGAAGTTATCAAGCGGAGTTTTTAGGTACGCATAGTAACCAAATCATTGTTTGTTTTTTCTATTCTCGAGGTAAGGCAAGCATTTCCACTTGTTTCAGTTTCCACAGCATACCTATTGCCTCCATATTTTATTTTGTTTGGATAAGTAGCTGCTCTTTAATTATTTCTCAAAGTGTGTCTTGGGATACATCAGTAAGCATTCGCAAAGATAGAAGTGGCTCATTGGTTCTCCTTATCCTTTCCGTACCACACCACACAACCTTTGCTTTTCTCATCACCCTTCCCGGAGTATGTGAAATGACCCATAGCTTGAGAAGAGGGAAAAGTACAGTTTTGTTTTTTTAAATTTGGATCTGGGAGTAGATAAAGGGAGGCATTTTTCCACATCAAAACTTACCCAGTTTTAACAGTGGAAATACTAACAGACAAGTTTACTTAAATGGACAAGATTATTTAAAATAATAGAATTGGGGCGCCCAGGTGGCTCTGTTGGTCGGGCATCTGACTTCAGCTCAGGTCATGATCTCCAGGTCCTGGGATAGAACCCCGAGTTCTATCTCACTCCCTTTGCCCTTCCCACTGCTCCTGCACTCTCTCTCTCACATAAATTTTTTTTAAATCTTAAAAAAAATAATAATAATAGAATTGAACTACAGCAAGTGTCAACTCTCATCCTGTTGTTTTACTCATCTTTACCTTGACCTAACTGTATAATAATTTCATTCTTTCTCAGGCCTCAGTTGGATGAACCCATTCCACTGTATGAGGCGAAAGTTACCATGGAAGTTGTTCAGAAAAATCAAGGAAGAAAAAAGCAAGTTGTTCAATTTTAATTTTGTTCTTTCTCAGACCTCAGTTGGATAAACCCCCTCCAGTACTTGAAGCCAGAGTTTCCTTGGGAATTGCTCAGAAAAGTCAAGGAAGATAAAATCAGATTGTTCAGTTTTCCCTCTGTGAGTCAAGACGCTCAAAGTTATTTAAGGTTTTTGAGAAGTATTTGGAAAAATTATTGTTACGAATGGTCAAGACAGTTCCGTAATTAACGTCTAAAGGGAATATGCTGAAATTCTTTTTTGCTTGTTTTGATACATTTTCCTCTGTTATAAAATTCTTTCCATGAAGAAAATTGCTTTCAGGAAAAGCTATGCTACTCTACTGACAAAGTTGTTAGTCTTTTGGTATGTCAAAATAATGTTATTACTTTTGTACCAACTCCGTTCTCAATACCTTCCTTCCTTAACGAGCCTTTGCTGTCGTAATTTAATCATTTGAGTTTATTTTCAAGTCTCAAAGGATCTAGTCCATAGACACTTTAAAAATTTTTCAAGCATTCATTTATTTCAGGGTTTCCTCGGGACCAAACAGGACCAGCACCGTAACTGGCCGGTGGCAGCTGCAGCGTGTGCGGGGTGGAGGGGATTGGGGGCTGCTGTGGCCATGCGTGGCAGGGGCTAGAAGACTGCACTTGCTGATTCCAGCCGGGGTTCTCTCTTTTCTTGGGCCAGGGGGATGGAGGCGCAGGGCTCTCTCGCCAGCTCTAGACGTCGCCTCTGCCCTCTGTAAACCTAAGAAGCAGCAGCTCAAGTGTGACGTCTCCTTTTCATTCAAGCGCCATGTTCTGGGCCCATTACATCTCTGCTGCAGATTTAAACGGCGTGTCAGCTATTTCGGTGCCAGATAGGGGAGTGCACGTCGGTGCCCCGGACCCGGGGCCTCTCGGCACCCGCGACCCAACGGCAGCCAAGGACCCAGCTGGAGCGCCGGGGAGCGGAAGGGACCAGACCCGACCAAGGCGTGGGGGTGGGGCCTCGCGGGTGGCCGACGTCGCTCGCGCTCGCCGCGCCGCGGGGGCGGGGCCACGTCGGGGGCGGGGCCGGCGCGCGCGGGAAGCGCCAGCGGGGAGGCCGGCCGGCCCCTCTGCGTGAGCCGCGCGTTATGGCCCTTTCGGTGCCTGGCTACTCGCCCAATTTCAAGAAGCCCCCCGAGACTTTGCGGCTCCGACGAAAACGCGTCCGGAGCCGCGGGGCGGCCGCCTCACCAGGGGAGCATCCCGAGCCGGCGCCGCGCCGCGCAGCTCTGGAGGCCGGGCTGCTCCTCCGCCCCTTCCCGGCTTCGGCGGCGGGCGGAGGCGGCAGCGGCCCGGCCGCGACCCGCAGGAACCCGTTCGCCCGCCTGGACAACCGGCCGCCGGCCGCCGCGGAGCCCCCCGACGGGCAGCCCCGCGGCCAGCAGGAGGCGGAGGGCCGGGTGAGTGTGGCGGGCCTGGCCGGCGAGGGGCTCTCGTAGTGCGGGGATTCGCTGTGAAATCCGGGCAAGTTGTCGCGGTCGAGGGAAATGGGCGCGGAGAGCGCCGCGGTCGAGGGGCCCTGAGCCTTGGGAGAGGCCGCTCTGGAAGCTGGGCTTTGTGTGGAGTGCGCCCCGCGAGCGCTCCGGCCGCCCGCCCTGAGGGAAGCGCAGGGCCCTGGGGCGCGCCCCCCTCGGTCCCGCCGGGCTTGGACTTCCTGGGGGTTAGAGGTCAGTGGGAAGACGGCTCGAAAAATCCCGGAGCCACTCATCCAGGAGGGCCGCTGCTCAGTGGGAAGATTACAGGAGACCCTCCTTCCCTGCGTGATTCAGAGCCTCCCTTCTCCCGCGCTCGAAAACATCCTGGAGAAAGGGGGATGCTCGCGAGTCCTGGAAGCCGAATTTCCTAGCCTTTTCTTAACCCCAGAGCCTTTTGAAACTTTCGATTTGAGATCTCTACATCAGTTATTAGGCGCACGTATCCCCGGCCTCCCCCACACCCCATTTTGACAGTAAAGTTCAGACACAAAACTGAAACCCTGAGCTAGTGATTTGCATGTGAATTCCTGCCCTTGCCTTCGCGGAGGGACTTGTGTGCCCGGTGAGGCTCTGTCCGTGTTAACGCGAACTCCAGCATCACTTAGGACTGAAAAGAACCGTTGTTTTCCCCTTCAGTTTTTAGATTCTAATCAGGAAAATGATTTGCTGTGGGAAGAGAAGTTTCCTGAAAGAACAACCGTTACTGAATTACTCCAGGTAATAGTTTTTAAATGTTGTTAGAATGTATATTCTTATAATCGAAATCCATACCTCTCAGAAGCATTTACTTGGAAAATCGCTTTGCCGGGAGTGCTGAGTGATCATCTGTGCCAGGGCTGTCAAGATGGCATCAGCACCGGAGTGGACTTTATACGATGTAAAAATGGTGTTTCTCGTGGTACCGACGCCAGGGTTGGTGTAGATACAGGTTCTCCTACTCCAGCCGTTCTGACACTATTCCTGTGTGACTGGTGACAGCTCCGGCTCATCAGTCCACGCTCCGCTGCTGTTTGAACTTCGTCCCTAACTGAATCTTCAGACTCGATCCCCAGATGACCTCCGCAGGTTGTGGCATGTCGCTGAACCTTGCTGACACCACCACAACGCACGCTATCTTGATACCAATCCGCAGGTTTTCCTGTTGTGATGGTTTAACAGAGTTTGTCCTAATAGGAGCAGGTGACAAGAGCTAAGACCCACTTTCCCTTTCACGTAAATAGATGGCCTTCACAGGGTCTTTTAGAAATAATTCTCCCCAGGGTCCTGGGCTCCCTGCTCAGCGGGGAGCCTGCTTCTCCCTCTTCCGTTCCCCCTGCTTGTGTGCTAACTCGCTTGCTCTCTCAAATAAATAAAATCTTAAAAAAAAAAAAAAAAGAAAAAGCACCTGGGTGGCTCCGTGGGTTAAGCCTCTGCCTTCCGCTCAGGTCCATGATGGGGATTGAGCCCCACATCAGGCTCTCTGCTCAGCGGGGAGTCTGCTCTGCCCCCCCACGTGCCTCTCTGCCTACTTGTGATCTCTGTCAAATAAATAAAAATCTTAAAAAAAATAGTTCCCCCTTACCTGTTATTTTTATGTGATGTCGCCTCAAAGAATCGTAAAGTGGTGAAAATTGCCTTGAAAAGACAGCAAAACAGTCTAGAAGGAAGTTTTGAAATCAGGAAATGCTTTTTACATATGGCCTCTTAAGAGCCCTGCCTAAGTTTACCTGCAGGAGCCTCTTAGCCCTGGTTCCAGAGTTTTAGAGGCTTAAAAGGTACTTTTTAAAACACTTGAGGGGCTCAGTCCGTTATGTGTTTGACTCCTAATTTTGGTTCAGGTCATGATATCAGGGTTGCAAGATTGAGCCCCGAGTCAGGTTCTGTGCTCAGTCTGCTGGGGGTTCTTTCCCTCTCCCTCTGCTCTTCCCCCACCAAAAAAAATGAATAAATCTTTTAAAAAATAATAAAACACTTGGAAGGTTTTTGCTTTGACAGCAAGATCAGTAGATTTTTTTTTTTTTTTAATTATGATCATGGGACTAGTACATGCCTCTTGTAGTTGAACTATATAGAACTATATATAAACTAACAGGTAAAATGTGCCCCTCCACCACTATCCATAACAATAGATCCCCGCTTCTCAGAGAAAACCACTCTCTGAAACCACAGTTGAGTAACTGTAGAGTGTTTCATAGTGTGTAGTGCGTTTTAAGTGTTACTTACACAGTTTATAAAATTTTGACATTTTTGTGATCGTTCTGGTTGATCAAATCTGTAGATTAAAAGGGTTTTTTGGGGGTGGTTGGTTGGTTTGGTTTTGGTACTCCACTAATTTTTGTGTTCTCTGTTTTCTAAAAGACTCCGCAAGTATCATTCTCCGCATCTGATAGTCCATCCTCAGAAAGTACTGAGTTACCTGTGGACTGGAGTATTAAAACTCGACTCCTTTTCACCTCTTCTCAACCCTTTACCTGGGCAGATCATCTGAAAGCACAGGAAGAAGCTCAAGGTGTCATCCAGCATTGTAGGGCAACAGAAGTTACTTTGCCTCAAAGTATACAGGTAATTCTGAGAAAACAGATAAGTGTTAAAGGAACAAATTAATTGTAAAACGTGCTTCTCTGCAAAATGGCACAGATACTTCCTTCTATTAAGTTTTCCTTCTGACATTTAGAGACACAAAGACTTGGGAAATTTTATATTTCCTAAGTGGTGCTTTCATGCAGTTTTCTCTGTCAGATTCAGTAACTGCCCATTAAATTTAGGGACCTGTCCTGAGAATTAATGTGTTGGGCAGGAATTGTTTGAACTAAGCCATTCTTTTTCAAGGTCTCTGGAGCAAGATAATGTAAGGGAAAGAAATGAAAAGCAATTGAGTAGGATTGCAAAGGCAGATTGGTTATTCTGCTGATTTTCTGATACGGCGTATGTTCTTTTTTTATGTACGCTAGTTCTTCGGGGTTGATAGTCTGTTGTAAGTATTGCAGTAGAGTTAACGAGTTCTAGAATGGTTTTGGAGAAACGTTAATTGCTCTCCTTAGGCAGCTCATGGGCTCAAACTAGATGAAAAGTGATTACCTCAAAGAGGCCTTGATACACCTTTTTTAATAAATAGATCAGGAGGATTTTTGGTTCACATTACCCATTTGTACTGGCTGCTGTTGAAACAGTTGTGAGGGGAGAGCGGTGGAACGTAGTATCGCCTACGTACAGCATCAACCCCCACAGTCCCCCTCCGTGGTAATAGGCGACAGTCGATGCTGAGCCGAGGGAACGTTCCCCTCTGTACTTAAGTCTTCCTTCTGATACGGTTTAACAGGCAAGAAGCACAGGCAAGAATAAACTCTGCTGTAACCGCTATTAATACTTTCCCATAAGAAACAGTAAAGATTCTGAGAATAAGTGGCATATCAATGCTTCTTAATGAAATCGTCTACTTCTAATGTGCCCAAAGCTGTCCAATATCATCTCTGGATTTTAGGATCCCAAAGTCTCCACTGAGCTCCGTTGTGCCTTCCAGCAGAGTCTTATCTATTGGCTTCACCCTGCCTTTCCTTGGCTACCACTGTTCCCTCGCATCGGAGCTGACAGAAAAATGGCTGGAAAGATAAGCCCTTGGGCAAATGATGAAACCTTGCAACACATTCTAATGAGCGACTGGTAAGATTTTTTTTTTTTTTTTTTGAGTGAAGTTTATTGGTGGTTTTTCAGGCAGTTGTTTGTTTTGTTTTGTTTTTTAAAGATTTTATTTATTTATTTGAGAGAGAGAGAGATCACAAATAGGCAGAGAGGCAGGCAGAGAGAGGGGGAAGCAGGCTCCCCGCCGAGCAGAGAGCCCAATGTGGGGCTCGATCCAAGGACCCTGAGACCATGACCTGAGCCGAAGGCCGAGGCTTAACCCACTGAGCCACCCAGGCACCCCGAGAGACTGGTAAGATTAAAAACTGGTGCATCTTAAAAGTGAATTTTCATTTTACCAGTGTTCTCTCCTTACTTGTGATGTGGAAATGTGTAGTGGTAAAATGATCTCTATGTCCTTTTGAATTATTTTTTCTAAGCTGTTAATAACGAACATTTAAATTATTCACTTTTTTTTTTTAACTCTTATTCACTCTTCATGCAGTTGTGGAAGTATGTGTAAGTGTTCCATAAGCGTATACAGACGTTCTTTTATGTTATTCTCAGTGGCTGCTTCCTTTCTCATCAGCAGAAGCTGCTCCGAGAAGGGTCAGCAACCAGTTAGCAATTGTGTTTTATTTAAAGAAAAAACATTAGTGATTAAGCAGTAAACACTATCGGTTAAAGTACTTAGAAGTCATCAGTGAGTCCCATGACCGATCTGAGTCCTGTAACAGCCAAGTTATATATGTAGTGGCAAAAATTCGAACCATTTTCAGTAATACATGTATTATGTTTTCAATCAAGTATCAAACCGAATGATAAAAAACTGAATTTTAGATGCTAAGCTAAATACATTAAAAAAATCTAAATTGTGCTGCTTCATAGGTCTGTGAGCTTCACTTCTCTTTATAATCTGCTGAAGGCAAAACTTTGCCCGTATTTCTACGTTTGTACGTACCAGTTTACCATCCTGTTCCGCGCGGCAGGATTAGCAGGAAATGATGTGATCACAGCTCTCCTATCTCCCACAACTAGAGGCATAAGAGAAGCTATGAAAAATGAAGGTAAAACCATTGGCTTAGAATGAGAATACCACACTGTATCTTACTTTCCTTAAAAGCTAAAATGTAAATTGTCTTTTTGCCAGCTGAATTGTCTTTTACCAATCTTACCTACCTTACCTTCTCCCCAGCAGTGCTTTAAGCTGTCCCCAGTGCATAGCTTTAAGTTAGTGGTATTCCCTTCTCTGATCTGACCACCACGTGTTAACCTGGGAAGTTCCCATCTGAATATATTCCTCTAGAAATTCCTTGATAGTACAAATTACCCACCCCCTTTTAGTAACAATTTTGCAACTGGGTCAACCATTAATGATCATGGAATCCATTTAGTAGGTTCAGTCAGTACTTTAGGAAAGAGCACCTTACCATGTGCCGTGAGAGTGTGTATTGTTTCCTGAACCTTTTGTTTGAAAGGAGGGTGTGTGTGTGTGTGTGTGTGTGTGTGTGTGTGTGTGTATGTGTTGGGCTACTGTCAAGAAAGCTTGAAAGCTAGTCCCTTAATAGATCAAGGGTAAAAGCTCAGATCTTTAGATTTCGTACTCTCTAAAAGTAAGGCATACCTGTTAAGTTCTTTAAGATTATATTAAAGAAAAATCAGTTGTATTCTTCTTTTCTCATGTAGGTATTGAATTTTCTCTGCCGTTAATAAAAGAAAATGGCCATGAGAAGAAGGCAACTGGGACAAGCCTGGGACAGGGAGAGTATGTGATTAAAATCACCTTTTGTGTCCCCTAAAGACTTACGGACTCGGTGTAATTGTTTTGTAGAGGGAACCGTTTTATGAAATGGAAACTCTTAACTATAACAATTTTCTAGGGAACAAGTAATCAGTGATGAGGATGAAGATGAAAGTTTTTCCTGGCTGGAAGAGATGGGTGTGCAAGATAAAATTAAAAAACCAGACGTGCTCTCAATCAAGCTATATCCTTTGCTATGTTAACTACAGTTGGTTTCCATTTAATTCCGTGAGTGAGCTACATATGTAATAGTGACTGACAGCTTTCTTTGACTATGATCTTAAATTACCTTACGATCGTATTTAAACTAATTCTCCATCATGACACTAAATAACAAACTCCCTCAGTACCAGTAAACCATGAACAATCATTACTATTTTCTTTTTTTTTTTTTTTTTTTTTAAAGATTTTATTTATTTATTTGAAAGAGAGGCAGTGAGAGAGAGCATGAGCGAGGAGAAGGTCAGAGGGAGAAGCAGACTCCCAGTGGAGCCGGGAGCCCGATGCGGGACTCGATCCCGGGACTCCGAGATCATGACCTGAGCTGAAAGCAGTCGTCCAACCAACTGAGCCACCCAGGCGTCCCTCATTACTATTTTCTTAAAAAATGAAACTCCATGGAGAGCATGGGTTTTTTTTTGTTGTTTTTGTTTTGACTAGAGAAGAAATTACTTTTTGTGAGGTGTCCACTTCTAGCAAATTCACATGGCCAAAGAGAAATCACTTTGATTTAAACCACTAAGTTATAATGGCGGCAGAGTGGGATGGCGAGAGCATTTCCAGTTCGGAATGGGAAGAAAGGGCCTGAAGTGATTCAGAATCAAGGGTTTTTTCCCCATTGGTTATGGGATTTAAATTTGGAAGCTCCTTGACAGTCCTCTTCAGATGTAGAGAGAAACACGAAGTGCAAATGGACCACAGACCGGAGTCCGTTGTGTTGGTGAGGGGAACAAGCACCTTGACGCTGCTGAATTTTCTGATCAATTCGAGGAGTGTAATTGCCAGCTCAGGTCCACAGGCGGGACTTCCTCCAACCCTCTTATCGCCCGTAGCTTTCCGAGGTGCCACGATGCAAATGCTTAAGGTAATGAAAAGGGGGGGGGGGCGGCCATCACTGATCCTCATAAATTAGCCTTTTACAAAGTCTTCATTTTTAGTAACTCCTGCCATTTTGTATGGTACAGATTTTGTCTTTGCTTTCCTCCCAGTGAAAAAAAAGTCATTCATTTATAAAGATGTATCAAAGAAATTCCATCAAAATACACTTACTATGTCTTATTTGAATTAGATGAAAATAATTGTTTCTGACTGAATAAATAGGATTGGCAACAAAAGCATTTTGCCATATGGAAAAGTTGCTTGATCTCATTTTGTCTCATTTCTTAACCAGTAAAGATCCTAGCCGAGGTTGTTATGTTAAATTATTAAGCTCAAAACTTGAATCATGGATAAGTGAAAAGAACAGCTGTGTATCTACAGTGTTGAAAAAAATTACGCTTGCAAATACAAAATGTATAGTGAATGTTATTAACAGTAGAATTTTTATTTACTTGGTTTTTTTTTTAAGATTTTATTTATTTGACAGAGATCACAAGTGGGCAGAGAGGCAGAGAGAGAGAGAGAGAGAGAGAGGAGGAAGCAGGCTCCCTGCTGAGCAGAGAGCCCGATGCGGGGCTCGATCCCAGGACCCTGAGATCATGACCTGAGCTGAAGGCAGAGGCTTAACCCACTGAGCCACCCAGGTGCCCCTTTATTTACTTTAAAAAAATATAATTTATTCTTATATTTGCCCGATATTCTGCATTGAAATTATGTTCCTAAACTCAAATGGGAGGTGGGCAAAAAGGAGTAAGGGGGAGTGGGAGGAGGTACGTGCTTCCAGTTAGGGAATAGAGGAAGTCGGGAATGAAAGTCACCGCATAGGGAACATAGCGGTGCTATGACAGCACTGTATAGCGACAGATGGGAGCTACACTTGAGAGAGCACAGCATAATGTATACAGTTACAGAATCATTGTTGGACCCCTGAAACCAATGTTTACATTGTGTGTCAACTATATTTCCACTAAAAAAATTTTTTTTTAAGATTTTATTTATTTGGGGGCACCTGGGTGGCTCAGTCGGTTAAAGTCTCTGCCTTCAGCTCAGGTCATGATCCCAGGGTCCTGGGATCGAGCCCCGCATCGGGCTCTCTGCTCAGCAGGGAGCCTGCTTCCTCCTCTCTCTCTGCCTGCTTCTCTGTGATCTCTGCCTGTCAAATAAATAAATAAAATCTTTAAAAAAAAAAAAGGTTTTATTTATTCATGAGGGACAAATTGAGAGGGAGAGGCATAGGGAGAAGCAGGCTTCCCACTGAGCAGGGAGCCCGATGTGGGACTTATCCCAGAACCCCGGAATCATGACCTGAGCCGAAGGCAGATGCTTGACCATGTGAGCCACCCAGGTGCCCTCCATTTAAAAAAAAATTTTATGGGGGAACCTGGGTGGCTCAGTGGTTAAACGTCTCTTAGCTCAGGTCTTGATCTCAGGGTCATTAAGTTTAAGCCCCAAACTGGGCTCCATGCTGGGTACGGCTCCTACTTTGAAAAAAAATTTTTGAGGGCACCTGGATGGCTCAGGTTGGTTAAGCATCTGCCTTCGGCTCAGGTCATGATCTCAGGGTCCTGGGATCAAGCCCACATTGGGCTCCCTGCTCAGTGGGGAGCCTGCTTCTCCCTCTCTCTCCCTCTGTTCTCTCTCTCAAATAATAATCTTCAAAAAACTTTTTCTTAATAAGACAAGTATATTACTAAGTCAGGATACCCTATGAAAAGTTATATTCTTTAGAACATGCTTACACTGAGTCATAATTTGGAGATGTGCTACAGATGGAGAATTAACATTTTTCCTCCTATAGCATTCTTTTGATGTCTTGTGAGCTACTTTATGCTACGATCATGTGTAGTAGCTGCTGTCACCATACAGTGCTATTACAATACCACGGACTCTTCCCTCTATGCTCTGCCTTCTTCGGTCCATCACTGGTTAGTAGAGAGGAAAACCCAAATGAAGTTATTGAACAAGTCTTTGGCTAGGGACAAAAGCTTGAGAGATGGTGACCGTCATTTTTTCTTTAAATTTTCTTGAAGGCACGAAGTGTAAATGTGAAGACGCAAGCTATTTCTGGATACAAAGACCAATGTAGTTTGGAGATCACAGGTCCCGTCATGCCTCATTGTCTGCATTCTGTAACCATGCTACTCCAGTCTTCACAAAAGGGGTCATTTTCTGCTGGACTGTATACACACGAGCCAACTGCTGTATTTAATGCCTGCCTGCCAGTGAATGAAGGACTGGATAAGGTAAGGAGACTGCTGTAGGGACGCCTGCGGGCGCTCAGTAGGTTAAGCAGCTGCCTTCAGCTCAGGTCATGAGCCCAAGGTCCTGGGATCGAGCCCCACACTGGGCTCCTCGCTCGCCAGGGAGCCCCCTTCTCCCTCTGCCTGCTCTGCCTGCTGTCCCCCCCCCACTTATGCGCATGCTCCCTCCCTCCCTCTGATAAATAAAATCTTAAGGACAAAAACATAGTAGACAGCTGTAAGCATTTCATTGTAGCTAGTTTCCTCAGATGGAAGAAGTGAATTAGTAAGCCAAACTTGTGTCTTAGGGTATTAAACTGTACTCATAGTAACTTTATCAATCCTAATTACTAAGATGAGGGGTAAGTTTGGTTTTTTTGAGGTAAATGTAAGGAATTTGGATTGTCGTACCCAACATGACTGAAGAACTAACCCCAACACAAAGAAAAGGCAAGTTATGTTCGTGGCCATCTCAGATCCGGAACTTAATAGTACCTGATTCTTGCATTATAAACAGCTACGGATATTTAACTAGTATCTGCCTGCAATTTGGGTCATAGTTTTTATTTACAGGTTATAATTAAGACCTTTAAAATTGCCTCATGCTTTTATCATTTGCCAGACTTCTAAGGGTAACCAAAATTATTTGTGGATGCTGTTGTTATATGTGAAAATTTTCAGGGTTCATGTCTATTGATAATGAACTGCCTTTACCTTATGAACAAATGATAAGGCGAGTATTTTTCAAAGTTCCATGGAAATTACTAAAATTGGAGTGTCCAGGGGTGCAACCCCTGATACCAGTTTATTAAACTGTACTGTTCAGCGTTCTCAATCCTAATTACTGAAAAGCCCCACGCTGGGCACGGAGCCTACTTTAAAACCTGAAGGGGAACGAGCTGGTTCAGCCGGAAGAGCATGCAGCGCTTGCCAGGGTCGTGAATTCGAGCCCCACGTGGGGTGGAGAGCCCCGAGAGTGATGTGCTGACCTGAGTACATATTTCCACAGGAGACCGTTCGTGAGGAGCTCGCTAACTGTGGGCTGCATCCTAAGACTCTAGACCAACTTAGTCTAACACCAATACTGGGAAAATCATCTTTACGACACGTGGAAATGAGCGACTACGTTTATAATTGGAGATCCTGAACATCAAAGTAAGCCTAAAAGGAATCTTTGAGGAAAAAAGCCTTCTAGCAAGGAAATTCAAGATTGTTATCCCTTTGGCTCTAAAGTTCATTTTGGAAGTTAAAGGAATATAACTATCTTTAAAATATTCAGATGTTTATAAACATTAATCTTTTACTTTATTACATGGGTTAAACAGTGGGATTAAGATTTTAAATCAGCATTTTTACTATTCTGATTAGCTTGTTCAGATACGAAGATAACCCCCAGCTTCTTAGAAACATCAGTAACTTGAGACTTCCAGACTTTCAACCTAATTTATAAATGGAGTAGAAAACTGAATGTCATGAATGTCAGTTTTTCCTTACAAATGGGAACTGAAGCTAAATTACTGTTATCTCCTGGCATTGTGACTGATGGCATGAGGGCAAAACTATATTTGATAAATCACCTGCAATTATAGGCAGGTTCTAACTTTTTATAAAGATATAAAACAAATGTAGACCATACCCGTTGAGCTGATAATGACTGTTGATGTGTCTCTTAGTTGCTGCTTTCCTTCCGATTTATAATAATTCTCTTCTCAAAGATAGTAAATTTGGTTTTTTAATGCATGTTAAATCAGATAAGGTATTTTGTATTCCCCACAGAATAGTGTTAATAATTGTAATGTATGCTCAGCTGTTATGGTAAAGTAGTATTTATTGCTCCTGTAGGGGTGTGTGTGTGCGTGCGTGCATGTGTGTGTGTGTGTATAATTCAGATTTTCTTAAAAATAAAAGTACTTAGAAATCAAAAGCATTGGGTAAAGAAACAACAGTATTTAGTGAAGAAGTATGTGTTCACTTTGTGATCCAGAAAATAAAACACCACCATTTATTCCAGAGAAGTTTATATTTGGGCCTTAAGCTTTTGAAAATAAAGTTTAGAGACATAGCATTATGAATACCACTGTAATACACATGAAATATTCTATCAGACCCTAAAAATTAACATAAACTTAAACTTTCTCATAGTCAACAAAATAGTGGCTGGGTGCCGATTTTATTAGATAAGTTGGTTACAGCATTTTAATTATCATTTAACGTCTATCTAGGTGTAGCTGAAATTCAAAATGCACATCAAAGTAAAACTATATCACAACTCAATGCCATACTAAATGTACTTGGCCTCTGCAGGAGAATTCGAATCGGACTTCATTCGGACTCCCTTCTCATGGCCCAGCTGGCTTTGATGGGAAAGCAGGACTTAGTGCAGGTCATCACACAACACAGCACTCTCTGTGTGTAACCGCTACGAAATTTTAAGGGGAGATGGTGGCATTAGCCCTGTGGAACAGATCTTGCTTCATTAGCTCAGTAACACTGGCCCAGCATCTGTCCAGCAGGACCCACTGTGAACTAGTACAAGGTGCACAGCCCTTCACGGATTACAGGCAGGTGGTACAGCAGCCTAGCCATAAGGAAGGGAGGTTACATCATAGTACAAAATACAGTATAAAAGCGTTATTTAACATTCCACACTGAAGATTACGGATGCCTTCAAACAATCGTTTGGATGTTAGCCACTTAAACAAATACATCACTAAGGTAAACAATATAAACATACCAAAACCCTGTATGGTTAAATACAATTTCCATGGTACAAAAATCAAAGCCTGGAGATGTTTGTACAGATTGCTTTTTACACAATGTCTTAAATTGCCAAATATTTACAACATTAAAGAGGAAATACATTTTGATGCAGAGTAAAATTATCTGAAATGATTAATATAAAACCTCAATCTATCTACGTGAGGCACTCCTGAAGCAAGTGGCATTAGCCATGAGGTCCTTTGGTACAAGGCCCATTGCTTGAAGAACCACAGTAGCTGCTGTGGCTTTAGCATGCTTCTTATTAGGGCTGGCAAAGCTGGGCTGGTAAGCGCTTCCATTTATCAATACCTATTCAAGAAAAACATACAATTGGGCTGGTAAGGGCTTCCATTTCTCAATACCTATTCAAGAAAAACATACAATAAGAACAGCATCAAACTTTAATATCTATTAGCTTTGTATTTTTTCACTAAATGCTAGAAAAATAATTTACCAAAATATAAAACCCATACTGTGTAAGTCAAATTAATTTCAACCCAAAGAAAGCAAATCATTTGGGAAAAGGGACTGCAAATTAAAAGCAGGTCTCCAAATGGGAGGGCGGGGGTGGGGGAGAGGTAGGGAATGGAGAAAACCCTGATAAAACTTAAAATTAATTCCCCATGTTCCATTAGAAAATGTCAACAAATTATTCACCAGACTCGCCCATTTTTTTCCCTCCATCGTTTTTGAAAAATTGGATATTGACAGGTCATGTTAAAGTATACTTATTTTAAAATCCCAAATCCCTACCACTTCTGCCCACACATACATATTCACTCCCAACCCACAATGTACCCATCCTGTGACCATACAATGCTTATCCCTCACCCTCCAGGCATCAAATTAATAAGGGTACAAAATTAATGCAGAAATTCATATTTACCCTAAAGAGAAAATGTTTGCGATGATCTGGGCCACTATCATGGACCAAGAGAAATTCTGGTGGTTGCCACCTTCTCTTATTACAGATTTCCATCAAAGCAGACACAGGATGTTTGCCTACAGAGGGAAAAAAAGCCATTAATTATTTTCACTATCTGTGGTAACGAATTATGAATCAAGGTGGGGATGGGACAAGAGGAAATTAAAATGTGCTCTCACCTGACAGATCTTTCATTGCAGCAGAGAAGTTTCCGGACCTCTTTTGTGCTCTTTCTCCTACTGCAACAAGACCTTTAAAATAAAAAGCCAATGTTCACTGAATAAACTCCAAAGCATCATTTTAAACTTATACAATGATTCTAGGAACGTGAATCACAACCTATGCCTTCCAATAAAATATTCAACTCCCACTACCCTTAACTTTTATGTAATTTGACTTGTTTCCCTGTGTTTCAACATATAAACCTATATACTTTATGTTCATATACCTTGATACTAGAAATTGGGGGAAAAAAATCAAATGTTCAGAGAACACAGAAACTTAGAATATGAATAGTGCCATATTTAACATCTCCAGGACTATTTCTAAGTTTAAAGAGTAGTGTCTATTTACTACAAGTGATTTCTAAAGGCTTCCAATCCCATTAAACAAAATGCCCAATTAAAGCTCCCCAAAAGGTGAGGATTTTAGGCCTCACACCCCGAACAATTAAAAAAAGAGGGTGTCTCTATAAATGGGTCCGTATTTTTCCCAGCAAATAACCACTTTCTGACTTATCAAATGATATACACAGAAGACAATCTCACTGCATAATCTCCCTTTCCAGTGGGATTTCACTGTATTACTAGCCAAAATCCATGCTTTCCTGCGAATTTTCAATCAGTTCCTCACTAATTTTGCTACTATGCTTCTCAAAACCCAACACTGTTAACACAATTCCAAAAAGGATGTTCCCTGTAATTACATCATGCATTCAGATGTTTTCTTCCAACCAGTCACCTTCTATGACAAAAAAAATCTGTTCAACTTGTATTAAGACAATGTCAATGTGGTATCAGTACAATGTCCTTTCCTAATTCAATCCAGAATTTGAATTAATGCCACAGCAAGGATGATTCTCATGCTATTTCCAGCCTATTTTGAGAATCATGACAATAAATCCCACCAATTTCAAATTTAAAAAATGGCATCACAGTATTCTATGGATGACAGTACAGAAATTCTGATGCAAAACATTTTATAAGACACCATTTGGTCTCAGCTGGTTGGTTTCCAAATTCATTGACAGAGTAATTTAACTACATTAACTTCAACTTTACCTTTCTGTTTGCAAAGTTAAGGAACGTTAATTTCAGTTTTGAACTTCCTAGTTCTTAAAAATCAGGCTTTATACAAGCTATTAAAATCACAAAGCTGACAGCTCAGCCCCATCTATGTAAGACGTTTTTCCAAGGGAAGGTATTATTTAAAAGGTACCAACTGGCTGTCATCAGTGAGCACTAAGTACATATATACATTTTTTTTTTAATGTGAGGGGAGGGGGCAGAGGAGGGAGAGAATCCCAAGCAGGCACCACACCTAAGTGCAAAGCCTAATGCAGGGCTCGATCTCACAACCCTGAGGATCATGACCTGAGCTGAAATCAAGAGTCAGATGTTTAACAGACTGAGCCACCCAGCAGCCCACCCCCACAAGTGTATTTTTAATACTTAGCAACTGTATGCAGGCTATGCAGACAGATCTCCACCTGAGTAGCAAAGTACTAGTAAAGACAGAAGTCCCAAGGTGCCCCAAGCACAAGGTAATACGAAGAGCTGATGATGATGCTGCTGTCAGCAACTGGTCTCCAGCCCCAACCCAAGAAAACTCAATTAGAGCTTAAGAAAGGACATGCCAAAAGGGTTTATATAAAATGAAGACAAAACAGCACTCTAATTGGAAATAAGGAGAACATGTGGGATAAAATATCTGAGAAAGGAAAAAACTATATCCTACCTAGAAACAAAGACAAGTATATGAAGTATATGTTCCCCATCAAGAAAAAAGAAAAGGGGTTAACATTTAATAAACTATAATCTAGTTGAAATTTCAATTACACTGATTTATGCACACTTCCGTAATACTAAGCAACTAACATAAGACCACCTTTTAGCTCAAATCAGTGACTCCAACTGTATCTATAAAAGCTGCCACAAATGGGCAGAACTTTCATGTCATAACAGCTATAAATATGCCCCACTTAAGTATCATGGACATCAAACTATAGGAAGGTTACTTTGGGGAAAAAAAATTTTTTTTTTTTAAAGAGGCACCTGGATGGCTCTATCAGTAGAGTGTAGGACTCAAGATCTCAGAGTTGTGAATTCAAGCCCACACTGGGTACAGAACTCAATTTAAAATAAAGTAGGATGGGTGCCTGGGTGGCTCAGTGGGTTAAAGCCTCTGCCTTCGGCTCAGGTCATGATCCCAGGGTCCTGGGATTGGCCCACATTGGGCTCTCTGCTCAGCGGGGAGCCTGTTTCCCTTCCTCTCTCTCCCCCGCCTCTTTGCCTGCTTGTGATCTCTGTCAAATAAATAAAACCTTTAAAAAAAAAAAAAAAGGAAATTTTAAAAAATAATAAAGTAGGATGGTAATGAAACCCTAAATATTAAAGGAGGTATATAATCAACATTCCCCAAACAATGTGTTACCTTTTCGGTCTGTCTTAAAATCAACTAGGATAGGCTCCTTATTTCCTTCTTTGTTTTTTCCTAATCCTTCTCCTTCTCTCCATCCCATTTTTCTCATCAAAACGGCTCCCATTCCTCCAGTTACCGGGGCTGCTCTTAAGAACTGATCCTATCCAAAGAAAGAAAGGTAAAATGTCCCCATTTCACAGTTAGAATTTGACTACAAACTCAGTGTAACTTTAAAAAAAAAAAAAAAAAAAAAAAAAAAATCTTATTTTACTTCTAGGTCTGATATAGCAATTAAAATTTCTATAACTTA